CTCCGGGCCCTTTGCCAAACCCAGGGAGGGTGGTCGTGCACACAGGTGCCTTTCTGTGCCCCCACTGGGGTCGTGGGAACAGCTGTGTCCTGGGCCCCCATGACTCCCCCAAATTGGATCCCAAGCCCATTGCTTTGTTTTCATTGGTTTAAATCTCATTTAAAGGGGAAAGGAAGGAAGGTCTTCTCAAATCATGTTTTCCCAGCTGCTGGGAGAGCAACACCTCGAGCTGGTATGTCATATTGTGGAGGGGATAAGAGATTTTGTTATTTCTTTTCACTTTATAAACAGTAAAAGGTCTCCTCCGGCGTGTTTCCAGTTTGCTTACTCAGTGCTTCATGCATTTGACAGTTTCTGGTGCATAGGCAGTTTCTTCTATTGTTTGCAGGGATTTTTCCAGAGGGGAAACTTTTTTTTAACATTACAAAACCACAGAAACTGGCAGGAGGAATCTAGGGGAGGTACTGAATTGGAAACAGTTTTAAACTTTAAGGAACGGAAAAGAATGAAAGCTACAAGATTAACTGAATCAGTCAGAGAAGAGCTGGGAGTGTGTGTCCTTGTGACTTTTTGGCTGGGCCAGGATGGACGTGCATGGATGTTCCATGGTGGAAAGCAGTGTTCCCAGAGCCAGGGTCTCCTGGAGCTGGCTCTGCTCTGGGTTTCCTCCCTCCTGGTCTCTCTTGGTATCTGTGGAGCCGCCTTGCTGGTGTGGCAATGTCTTGCCACTCTTGCAGCAGGATTTGGCCCCAGCCCTTGCCAGGTGTTGGCTCATCGTTTACAGCTTGACAAGGCAGCGGGAGCGGTGCCCGCGGGAGTTTGCGTGGGAGGACATGCCCGGTGCCCATCCCCATCCCACGCCTGCTGTGGCATGGGCCAGCTTCACCCTGGCTGCTTCTGCATCCAAGCCCTCAGTGGAAAGAGCCTGGATATTTTTTTTTTCCACTGACACACGGCAGTGCTGCAAGGTTCTTTCCGAGTATTCTTTCCCTTTCTCTTCCCGGCTGGCTGAGTGAGCTGTTTTCCCTCCTCCTGGCTCTGACCTTCCTGTGTGCTCGCTGGGGGGAGCGGGCTGGCAGGGGCTGCCCTGCAGGGAAGCAGGAGTTGGATGTGCACAGCACGGGAAGCGGCTGGGAGCTGGAGAACTGCCAGCACCGGGTAGTTTTTCCTCTGTTAATTAACGAACGGAAAACATGGAGCTCTCCTTTGGAGTGTGTTTTTGCTTTGGAGTAGAGGCACGCTGCCGATGGCGACGGGAAGAGCTGCGCTGGGGATGGGCTGTGCCGGAGCTTGGTGCTCCGGGCACGGTGCCATGCAGGAGCAGCTGTGTTTGGAGTTTGTGCCTGGGGTTTTGCCTCCTCCCGAGTCCTCGTCTCAGTCCCGTTGGCACACAGTGTGTGTCACACCACGGGTTGCCATCAGACACCACGTTCCCTGCACTGGGGAGGCTGAGCTTGCCTGCGTGCAGGAGGCTGAGCTCACACAGCTGCCTTCGTGCTGGGGTTGCTGCAGCTTTCCATGGTCCCTGACCATTGATTCCCTGTGGTGCTGATCCGTGTTGAGCCATTTTCCTCTGTGTGTGAGCGTTTCTCTGCTGTTTCTTTGCAGGCCAAACCCATTTATGGTGGCTGGCTGCTGCTGGCCCCGGAAGGAACGGACTTTGATAACCCCGTGCATCGCTCCCGGGTAAGTGAAGCTGAGACATCCCCTCCCCATGACGTTGGTGGGGGTGGCAGGAGGAGCAGCCAGGGCTGTCCCTGCCCGTGGGGGTGGCTGTGACCCTGGGAGTGTGCTGAAGGCACCTCCATGCTCCCGTTCTCTTGTGCAAACCAGGAAGCTGGGAGATGTTTCTGGCAGCAAAGCTGGAATGCTTTCTCTGGGATGCAAGGTCTCCTGTGCTGGGCAGCAGCCTGGGGCACTGCAGGTGCGGGTCAGGCTCAGTCTGTGCAGTTTTATTGCTTGTTGCTTTTGCTTTTTGATGTTTTGATGCTGCTCTGCTTTGCCTGACACGTGCCATGCTGCCAGGAAGGTGCTCAGGCCAGTGGGGTGTGGGCTGTGTGACTCTGAGCTGTGCTGTGACCATCAGAAAAGCTCCTAGTTTTCCTTTGGGGCTTGGAAACTACTTTATTTTCTGCAGCTCGTGATGAGCATGCCCAGAGCTTTAGAGGGAGGCTGCATCCCATCCCCTAGTGTGGATATGCCAATGTCAGGCAGGTCCTGCAGCAAGGAAGGGGCTGAGTGGAGGTTCCCATTTGCTCTAACCCTGCAGAGCTCTGAAGCCAAGTGCTGGCAGCAGTGACCTGCAGACAGAGCAGGACACACTCAGCTCCTTCCCAAAGGGGTTTTCTCATGCCTGGCAGAAACAGCAGCATCCTGTGGGGTTGGAGCATCCCCCACTTTCCTGTCCTGGGGGGGGTGTGAGGCTCAGAAGGATGTGGCCAGGCTGAGCTCCTTTCACTGCTAGCTTGTGACGAGGACTTCCAGCCTGTCCCCAAGCTTGTCTTGCAGGGAGCTGGCTGCTGAGCCTGCCAGGATGGGGCTGTCTTGTGCGTGGGAGGGATGGCAATGGTCCGTGAACCCTCTGTCACGCAGCCAAAATGTTCTGGGAGCTGTTTGTAATAAAAAAATCGCTCCCGAATGAGCAAGAATTGGGTTCTGAGTTCATAGCCTGGGGTATATGGGTTATTATTTGGAGTCACAGCTTGTCATAGGCTTGCTGGCCTGACATAAAGGGGACATTGGGACCCAGGTTTCCCCAAAACCCAGGCTGCCTGCTAAGCTGGGGCTTGTGGAGGTCCACAAGGTCCTCCCTGGTTCTGCTTGTCCCTGAGCACTCTGGACTTTGCCCGAAGGGCTGAGAAAAGTGAGATAAGAATTGCTGCACTGGGGCTATGAATCCAGGACTTTTTTATTTCAGCCTGCTCAACCAGTTTTTGCTCTTGGCTGAAAACAACCTGGCACACATGAAAAAAAAAAAAGGCAGTTTTCCAGCCAGATCAGTTCTCCAATCTGATCTGCTGTGCAGCTGCAGAGGCAGCAGTGCCAGCATGGTGCCAGGATTGCCTGGGCAGAGCCATGCCAGGAGTGCAGCCACCATCCAAACTGAGCTCATGTGCTGCTGGGGGACATCTGCATGACACCCTGTCAACCCCCAGCACTGGATGCTGGAATAGATGGTGCAGGATGAAGCTGAGGGCTGAGAGCATTTAGTTTGGGGATCCTTATGGTGTCCGCAGTACTTGTGGTATGAACCTGAGTCATGAGGTTTAGTTTGGATATTAGGAAAAGGTTCTTCCCCCAGAGGGTGATCAGGCTCTGAACAGGCTCCCCAGGGAACGGTCAAAGTCCTGAGGCTGCCAGAGCTCAGGGCAGTGAGCATTGGGCAATGTGGGCTGATGCACACAGACCCCTGCCAGCTGATGTGCAGCTCCAGTGCTCCCAGCGAGGGCCAGGGTCTGGTGGGCACTGCCATGACCCACCTCATGTCTTCTCTTGCAGAAATGGCAGCGTCGGTTCTTCATCCTCTACGAGCACGGGCTGCTGCGCTATGCCCTCGACGAGATGGTGAGTGCTGCCTGGCTCTGACCAGCTCTGGGGATGGATCAGCTGGGTTATCTGCTGCCCTTGGAGTGCTCTGCCAAGCTGGAGGAGAGTTGTGCTCGCTGGGTTTGACTCTGTGCCAGGCTGGGTTTGTGTGGGAGCTCAGTGGGCACTCTGCAGAGGACGGGTGGGTGTTTTGGAGGCATGCGAGTCCTGCCTGGCATGGGATTCAGCAGTTGCTGACAGATCCCACACTGGCAGGAAGTGCTGGAGGGGGTCCCCAAGGTTGTTCCCCCTCCTTTTTGCCCAGTTTCCCGGTGCCAGCTGGGTTTTGGATGTGGTGAATCACCTTGGCAGTGTCCGAGGAGGAGGCCCTGCCTAGTGATGCCCGTGGAAAGTAGGTCAGCTGGAACGCCCTGGAGCTGCAGCTTGTCACCAGCACTGTTCCCAGCAGTAAAAGGGGATCAAAGGAAGGCAAACCCATTCACTGGGAGCTGCAGAGTGGGGCTGAAGAGCCCAGTAGGTCAGTCCCAGGAGCACCCAGGACTGCTGATCCATCCTGCTGGCTACAGGAAGCCCATGGGAAGCTGCCCAAGGCTGAGCAGGCTGGCACAGTGGGCGCCCATGTGCTGGGATCTGCCTGGGCAGGAGGCTCAGGAAGCCAGCTGGAGAGAGCACACCTGTGGGACAGGGACACATGGGGACCTGTGTCTGTGGCAGGGAGGCTGAGAGGTCAGTGTGCCTTGGTCCTCCTCCAGTACCTCCTGTGAGGGCACCGTGGAATGAGGAGGCTCAGCGAGTGTGGCTCAGATTTCATGCTGTGTTTGTTTGTATTTTTACTTGGGGTTGGTCCAAGTGCCCTAAATAATTTAAATGTCTTTGGTAGGAGCAGTGGAGGCTTTAATACATTTTCAGTTTCAGCAACCTGGCTCTACACTGGGCTGCTGTTTCCTGTCCTACACTGACAGGAGGGTGCTTTGTGTCTGGGTGGAGTAGGGAGATGCCCAGTCTGAGGGTAGAGGTGCAGAAATGCTGGGAGACAATCTGGAATATTTTTTTGCTGTTTTGCATCCTGAGGAGGTTGAGCTGCCCCAGGTTCTGCCGCATCTGGGCAGAAGCAGAGAGCAGTGCCCCAGCCCTGTGCCACAGAGAGCACCCAGAGGAGAGCAGGAGCATCCCACAGTTCTCCAGGCACCTGTTGGGCTTTTTCCCCTCGAGAAGGGAGAAAGTGGAAAAATACAAACAAAAAAGGGAAGGTACACATGTGCAACATGGGATGGTGTCCTGGGCAGTGTGACAGCCCTGTGCTGGCTCCTGGACTCGCTGCCCCGTGGCCACTTGTGGTGTGATGGATCCCAGGAGGGTCTGAGGCAGCAGGAGACCTCCCAGGCAGTGGCAGGCTGGGATTGAATGGCTGTGCTTGAACCTTTCAGACATTAATTTTGTGGGTTTGGCAATTTCTGCTCTTATTAAAGTGGAATTGGAGGGAGGAGTGAGCTTGGGAGGGAGTCCTGGGCTGTTGATGCTGGTGGAAACATTGCTGTGCCTGGCCAGGGAGGTTCTGTCCTGGCTCCCAGTGGGGTGTGGAGGGGCAGCTCAAAGCACAAGCCCAGGTTGAGGAGACCTCAGGGAGTCCCCAGAGATGTGGGTGCTGTGATACTCAGAGTCTGGGGAATGGGGCAGCACTGGGCACAGGGAGCCTTTTGCCAAGGCATGGGTAAAGTTTGGTGTTGGATTGGAGCGTTTTGGGCGTGGAAGGTGGGACAAACAGGCACCAGCTGTCCTGCTTGTCCTGTTCTCTCCTGAGACCTGCCCAGGGATATCCCAGAGCTGATCCTGAGTCTGTGCTCCTGCTTGGTCACCTTTTTTTCTCTGTGTCAGTCATTCTGTCTGTCCTTGCTCTGCCATAGTTCCAGTCTGAAAACAAAATGAGTTCTGCGTGATGGCTGCGATGGGGAGAATTTGCACAGGCTCTGGACCTTCACCCCCTCAGACCAGGCTGAGCTGCCAGACTCTCTCCCTGGGGGCTCCCTCTTTCAGGCTGGGTGCAGTTGGTGGCACCCAGGTCCAGCCTGGCCACTGGGAATGCCCAGGAGATCTCACCCCCTTCCCTCTGCAGGGACCATGCCAGCCGCTGTTCCCAGCCTTGCTGAGCCCTGCCTAAGCTGAGCCTGCTCAGACGTGCAGAAATTCCTGCCTCTCAGCTGAGGGTGGATGTGAAGGTTGTGTGATCACTTGGGGATGCCTTCCCATCCTGAACATCCACAATTGCACCTGATGCTGGCTTGTTCCTGCTGTTTGATAAACCTTCATGCTGGCGCTGATGATGATGGGTTGATGCTTCTCTGCAGCAGCTGGAGGATGACAAAGCCACTCTTACTGAGGGAAAGCAGGAGAGAACAGGCTTGGGGTTGAGCTGCTGTGTTGTGAGTGTCCAAGGACAAGTTTCAGTTCTCCTGGTAGAGCAGCCTGTGGTCTCCAGTGCAACCACTGCTGTGGAAGAGCAGCACCAACCCACTGCGGTGCTGGGAGGGTTTGGTTGGGATTTGGGAGCTGCCACAAGAACAGTGCAGGGCTCAGGGGCCAGAGGCAGCGAGTGGCAAGTGCAGAGCTTTGGCTGCCTTTGTTTTGATTGCTGTGATCTATAATTAGCGGCCGAGGTCTCTATAAATAGAGCCAGCCTGCGTGGGAATGGAAAGGCAGGAGGGGTTTGTGGGGATGGAGAGCTCTGCCATGTCCCTCCCTGGGGCTGCAGGTGGGCTGTGGCCTCAGCCTCTGCCTGGGCATGGATCCAGGCCCATGGCTGGGGCAGGTCAGAGCAGTGGGTCTGGATCTCCAGGCCAGCTTCTTAATGAATCACTGCATGTCCAAGCCAGGCCTTGTCTCTGTGCCTCAGTTTACCCCTGTGCTGCTTCTCTTGAGCTGGGGTCTATACTAGGTTGGCATTTTGCATCCTCCCTGGGGTATTCTCATGTCACATCAGGCTTCCTTTTGGTAGCTGACACTATTAATTTAGAGGCTTTTTGCTTTGTGCATATGCTGGTTTGAAAACAGGACAAAATTTGGGCTTGTCTGGGAGCATCTCAGACTCGCTGGTGCTGTGGATGAGAGGCAAGGTGAAAGCACCTTCTGGATGGGCTCTTTTAGTTTCCCTACAGGGATTCAGGAGCAGCATCCCTGTGCAGGAAATACCCATTTTGCAACAAGCTGACCTCAGTCTGTGTCTGGCACTTGCCAACTTGATGAAATGTGTGAGCTCTATCTTTACCCTTCCTGTAACTTGCTGCAGTCAAATTGCTTTGTGAAATTGGGAAGGGATCTAGGAGGGTGCTTGAATCACTGGTCAGCCACCTCAATACCAGAATTGCTGGGGTTGAATGGTTGTGTCCTCCATGGTGGTGCTGCAGACCCTTCCCGAGCTCACAGCAGGGTGGTCCTGCTCCTAAATCAGGAGCTCAGATGGATCATAATGTCATTAACCTCAGTACAATGGAGCAGACATCCCTGCTCCAGCCTGTGGTGGCAGGGAGGGAGGTCAGGAGTGAGTTGGTGGGACTGGGGTGGGATGGAGAGTGAGGCCAGCCTGGCATCTGGCAATGGTTAGGGAGCAGTGGGACCCCTGGGCTGGGGGTATAAATAGGAGAAGAGAGGCCAGCTCAGAGGTGGGAGGTCTGGCACTCCACAGCAGGGCTCTGGGGTCACATCTGGAGACCTGCTTGGCCCCAGGCTCCATTCCTGGCCACAGAAACCTAAGGAACTGATAAATGGGTGAAAAAGGAGAATGGTGCAAGCATTGGTGGCAGCTGGAGGGGGATCAGAGGAAGGGATGCATGCTTGCTGATGCTGTGATCCACAGACCTGTGTGATTATTGTTTCCTAATTCACCCCCCTCCAAACACCTCTTTATTTGGAGGAAAGGGGCATTTTAAAATGTCACTGTCAGCAGAGCTGTGCTGTGTTGATTCTCATTGTAGTTACCTCCTTTGTCATCTGTATTGTTTTAAGAAGCCGAGAGCCCGTGTGTGTGTGTTTTCCCCCTCCTTTTTAGATCAAAGCAGTTTACTTCAGTTTTGGCACAGAACTGAAATTCATTGGCAGGGATTAAAAACGAACCTTAAACATCCTGGCCTCTCTGTCCTTACTTTTTCCACACATTTTGCCATTTAAGTGTTTCCAAGCTCTCCCTGCCCCCTCCTCCGTGGGAGCACCGGGCTTTACAAACCCCATTCCCCTCATCATCAGTGGTTCCCACCATGGACACAGTTTTGCCAGTGCCTCTCTTTGCCAGATCAAGACTTTCAGTTTCTGTTTAGCATAAAAAGCTTTTGGCTTGAATCAAAGCATGTTTGAAATTTAAAGTAAGCAGAGACAGAAAGACTGGGTGGGAGTGACTGTGTGAGGCTCAGACAGTGACAGGGACCCCCCCATCCCAGTTTTTTTTCTGGATGTAGTCAAGTCAGGGTGGATGATGATTTGTGAGGTTTTGTGTGGGATATTTGGTGTGTATGTCATAGCAATGCAGTAGCATAGGATGCAGTAGCAATAAGGAAATGATGGGAAAATTGGGAAGCAGAGATCCTTTCTCCTTCAGGAAAGCTGGGCAGGAAAGGGACACCAGGGAGAGGGGACATGCTTGTGATTGCTCTAAACGAGTGCTAGTGACTCTGAACAGAGCTCAGAGATCTTTGAGGAATTTGTTGTGTTTGGTTTTCAATACTGATTTGGGGGAATAAAGTCCGTGAACCTACAGGGAGCCCTGGGAGCTCATTCCCTGGGACATTGCTGAGGTCAGGACCAAGCAGCCTTGAAGGGGGTGAGAGGAGGATACACAAATCTTCATTTGTGCTTTTATATTGTCTGTCTTGATGCTGATGCAAGTGTCATTACTGGGGTTGTGTGTGGGGTGACTTTGGGGTGTTCATGCTCCAAGTGCCTGGCCCCAGATGCTGTGGGAGGTGGGTTCTGCTGTCAGGACACCCTGGGCTCCTCCAGGAATGGTTCCCTACATTTGCTGAACCCTCTTC